AAGTTGTTAGTCCTCTGCCATAGTGGCCATGCTAGTTTCCAGCATCGTCTAGTAATCTATCATTACAACGGTCTGGTGCTTTAAATTATCATTACTACCATAGCAGAGACCGTAGAACGGTAGATTATGCAAGGTCGCCCCATCTTCCCGAACGAGTAAAAAAGCTCAATAGTTTTATGAGATTATATATTTGCTTTGATGATCTGGGCAAATATATGCCATTGGAGAAGCTGAAGCTTGGGTTAGAGAGACTGTAAATCATTGTCTGCTCATCTGAACGGCAAAGTTAATCGAAATATTAAATGTATTCACTATAAGCTGAATCAGAAATAGGCGATATTATGAAAACATGTTAGTTAACTAGTTTTGTATGCTCGAAGCCACCAAGTAGTCTATTGTGTAGCTAATTTGTTGTTAATAGGTTTGGTAAAAGTAACTGTTATACGAGATGTACTGGGGGTCTCGAAACTCTTCTTATATACGAATAAAAGTGACTGTTAATAATAATAGCAACCATTTACGCATAGCCTTGAAATAACCGATAGCAATTCTAGCCACGATGGGGTGAAGAGAATATTTGATTTTGCACTAAAATTCATCAAGCAATGCCCCCTCAAAGCTCGTATTCTCAAGTCTTGGTTGTAGTTTCTACTTCAACTTGGTCACATCTGCACTCCCAAGCTGATTAAGTCCATGAATATTCGCTTATAAGTAGGCTTTCGAGACTACCAGTAGTGATAACGTGTTAGAATGCTATGGCAAATAATTCGCTTCACCGACAATCCCACAAGTATGCTTTTGAGACTGCCAGTGGATCATATATATGATATCTATTCATGCTATTTCGTTTAGAGTGATAGGAAGACTAGTAGTTAAATTCTCTTACTATCATATGAGTAGACATGACGTTTCCATTGAACTTCGCATAGCCTTGCATTCTCAAAGGGCAATCTCATTCAGGGTGGACTGCAGTTTTGACTTCGCCCAGGTCTTATCAACACCTTAGGCGGAACTCGAACCATGGCACTGCAACGTCTCGACACGTTAACCTCTACG